GCTCCTCCCAGTGTCTAAGAAAGTCAGAGAAAATATACAGAGACAAAATAGTCCCTACCTTGTCTCTTTATCTCCTGACTGGGTTGGACTTCAGTGAAACACAATCAAAATGAGTATTTCATAAAGATCTTTTCAGTGGGGGTTGACAGTGTCGCTTTAAAGTGACCAACTAAGTACCAAATGTACATGCATTCACATATTCGATCATAAAATACATCCAAACTGTTTACATGAATATTGAATAACTCTCTTGCTTCATAAATACACAAATTGCCAGAAAGGAAGTGGTGAGAGAAGCAAGGGTGTGGAATTTGTGTTCTTAAGAAATATACGTGTCCAGTGGGGCTAAAGCAGTAGCCCAATCTTCTTGTCTGTCAAGTTTTCACAATTTCAATCTGAATGGAAAAAAAACTGGAAAAAATATGGGTCAGGAAAAATTCTCTTAACTTCAGTATAGTCAGAATATGGTTATCTTTGCTGTTTGGATTTATTTTGCAAAAATTCAGAGTGGATTACCATTAATTATCTAACGAATCCCTTTCCACAGTCTCTACCATTGTCACAGTGTGTGCTGTGCAATGAGTGCTCACTCTGCTTGGTCTGTGCTGGCTATATGTTTAGTGTGTGTTGGCTGTGTGTGATGTTTTTGTAGAGTGTGCTAGCTGTATGTGATGGGTGTGTATGTGTGCTTGCTGTGATGAAGCTCTGTGTAGCCCCCTTCCTACTTCTCTTTTGAAGGAAGGGTGGTTATGATCTCTGGAAGTCCATCGGGACCTAACTCTTTCTGGAGGTCCTGGATCCATGGTCTAGTGGGGGACCATGAGGGGCTGATGCCGATCTCAGTAATCACTCCCTCGCAGTCCCAGTATTGAGGGAATTCAGGGTGCATGCTGGGAATGGCCAGTGGCGGCACTCTAACTAGAGAGCGCCCCACCGTGAGTGTGTGATTACTGATGTCTGCATCTGTCTGTAGTGCAAACCTCACTCTACTTACCCCTTGCCTGTAGCAGGGCTAAAATAATTTTAAAAAGTGCTTCCCTGGTGCTGCATGTCCCGAGCATTGGGCAATATAATTCCAAATCCGTGGGCAGGGAAAATGTAACTCACAGCTTTCCATAAATGTCTGCCCAAGATAATAAATGGTTTAAAGATATATGGGAAATTCATGTGTGCGTACTTTTTGAAAGTTTTCATTCTTTAACCGCAAAAAATAAAAATATGAGAAATGTCTTCAACTTCCACTAATTTATTAAATGGATTCTCATTTGTTTTGTTCTTCAATTCATTAACATTAATGTATGTGCTTTCCTATCTTTTCTATACTGCAAACCAAAAAAATTGTGAAAGATAAAGATATATATGGGAAATTCCTCACTGCTTTTCTTAAAGCACATAGCGAGCGCACATCAACTGGTGGGACTGAACCCAAACGCTCCTTGTGTCATAACCACTACAATAAGCTGATGTGGTTTTGGTGTGTAGAGTGTCCTTTCAAATGTTTGTTTCAGTACGTTACAGCCACCAGGATCCTGTTCGTGAAACACGTTGATAAATATCTGGATTTTCATTATCATTTAAAACGGAGGCAATTTTCACCAGTTCATCTCAAGCTGCTTAGGATCCCATCATTGTAGGAATAGACATGTTATTGTTCCAAGTAGTTATTTGAGTAAAAAAAAAATATATATATATATATATATATATAGCCGTATTTAAATGCTCAAACGGAAAGAGTGAAGGCTTTTTATGAAGTTTTCTCATAAATTATATGCAACTCAACTATTTAATAACTGCTTTAGCTTTAAGGCTTCAAGAGATGATCCTCCATCTAATAATTCCTTTTCTGTAGATCCAGTGTGTTCTTTCTTTATAATTCTGGAAACATCTTATGTTTTTTTCATGATGTTCAATCTTTTTATTCAGTTTTACATACTGTTCCGGACACTGCAGGGCTCAGCCCAAACAGACCGCTTCTGTCTCTGCGGCTGAGGTAGTGGAGGCAGAGAGCGGCACCAGCGGATCTCAGGTAAGAAGTCAAACTGTTGTAATATCCTTTGACTACTAGAAATGTGGGGAGGGGGAGTGCCTTCTGACTCCGTAACCACTATAGCACCCTATAGTGTTCCTTTAATTGCTTATGAATGTGCTGGTATTTTAATGGTATGGGCATTTTTTATTTTATTCTTTCCCAAAAATGTCTTTGTTTTGTTGCTTACTACACGCATTCCTTTAATCTGAATCCAATCCATTTTCAAAAGGACAATTCCAGCAATGCAACGTGCATAAAAGACATCACATTTACGGAATCATTTACGTTATTATAAGTCAACGTTGGGAGAGGCTTACCTATTACTATACAGATTTACCTAAATATATGAAGGTATATAGATATACAGTGAGGGGAAAAAATATTTGATCTCCTGCTGATTTAGAAAATTTGCCCACTGACAAAGAAATGATCAGTTTATAATTTTAATGTAGGTGTATTTTAACAGTGAGAGAAAGAACAAAAAAAACCAGAAAAACGCATGTCAAAAAAGTTATAAATTGATTTGCATTACAATGAGTGAAATAAGTATTTGATCCCCTATCGATCAGCAAGATTTCTGGCTCCTAGGTGTCTTTTATACAGGTAACTAGCTGAGATTAGGAGTACTCTCTTAAAGGTACTTTTCCTAATCTCAGCTTGTTACCTGTATTAAAGACACCTGTCCACAGAAGCAATCGATCAATCAGATTCCAAACTCTCCACCATGGCCATGACCAAGACCAAAGAGCTGTCCAAGGATGTCAGGGACAATATTGTAGACCTACAGAAGGTGAGAAGGTGACAACAGTTGGTGCGATTATTCGCAAATGCAGGAAACACAAAATAACTATTAGTCTCTCTCAGTCTGGTGCTCCATGCAAGATCTTATCTTGTGGAATCAGCCCAGAACTAAGCGGGAGGTTCTTGTTAATGATCTCAAGGCAGCTGGGACTATAGTCAACAAAAAAAAAATTGTAACACACTACGCCGTGAAGAACACACTCCCCCTGCTCAAGAAAGCATATGTACAGGCCCATCTGAAGATTGCCAATGAACATCTGATTGATTCAGAGGAGAACTGGGGGGAAGTGTTGTGGTCAGATGAGACCAAAATCGAGCTCTTGGCATCAACTCAACTCGCCATGTTTGGAGGAGGTGGAATGCTGCCTATGACTCCAAGACACCATCCCCACGTCAAACATGGAGGTGGAAACATAATGCTTTGGGGGTGTTTTTCTTCTAAGGGGACAGGACAACTGCATTGCATCAAAGGAACGATGGACGGGGCTATGTACCATCAAATCTTGGGTAAGAACCTCCTTCCCTCAGCCATGGCATTGAAAATGGGTCGTGGATGGGTATTCCAGCATGACAATGACCCAAAACACACAGCCAAGGCAACAAAGGAGTGGCTTAAGAAGAATCACATTAAGTTCCTGGAATGGCCTAGCCAGTCTCCAGACCTTAATCCCATAGAAAATCTGTGGAGGGAGCTGAAGGTTTGAGTTGCCAAACGTCAGCCTCAAAAACTATGACATGGAGAGGA